ATACTTCTTTAGAAATAAGAATTGCCACCCTTTCCATATAATGTTCGATTTCTAGTCTAACTGAGTAAATAAATTCCATGTTATGATCACGTATTACTCCGCTGTCATTGGATCTAGTCTCTTGGATGGCAGGAATATTAAATTTATAGTTAGACACCTCATTTCGAAGTTCTGTAAATTTTCAACTTTCATATAAAGTCCGTACATTCTAGGATGCAATTCGAATCGATCGCTTCATTCCGATAGTGTTTCTTCAGGAACAATAAGAGTTGTTATTGCGGTTTAAGTGCAGTTTTTGATCTATTGTTGAGGTTTTATTCATTGTGTTGATATTTCAGTGTGCATTTGGCACCTTAACATCCATTGTACCAGCTGCAGCTTGTGCAGGGAGATTTTCGAAGCTTATTCGATAACTCCATGAAGACAGATTTTCTTCGATATTTGAATCTATGCATAAACATCAAAAATTTAAAAAATAGTGGATGTTTGATGAGTTTAATGACCATATTTGACACATATTTGACGCTCTTAACCACATCTAACCTGTGATCAGACGTCAGGTATGTGGATTGCTTTTAGCTTCCGTACTCACCTACGACCTTACCGGCAAGAAAGACGCTGTCAGTAGCTACCACCGGCGTCGCTCTCAGGATCATTATACATACTGAGCCCCTCCACCACGTCTCCTATTATATTGCATAATTAAAAGTTGTTTATATAGTTTGAAAAATTTAATTTGTAAATACATATTTACAATATATTACAATTTCGAAAAGTACAGTTATAAAATAATTTATGTTTAATATAATTATATTACTTATTTCATTCGTAATGAATTCCTACTTAGTTGCATCTTATTTTCTATTTGCTCCACACAACTTCAGTTTTAATTTTTATTAATTAGTCTGAAAAATAAGTAAAAAAATTAGCATTAAATTAATTGTTACTACATTAATAAACAAAAATCCCTGACCATCAATTCGGTTCTCGCCGAAAACATAGCACAACAGAACAAATTCATAGACTTGTCAGAAATATCCATAGTGCAATAGATGGTAAGAAATATTGCACTGCGGCATTTATAGATATTTCGCAAGCTTTTAATCGAGTATGGCATGAGGGCCTTCTTTTCAAACTAAAACTGAATCATACCTCTCGGCAAGGCACTTTTTCATTAAGAAGCATAATGCGACAAATGCTTTATCTTCTATATTCTGGAAACCACATACATTTGAAAAGCGTAAAGACTTAGGTTTCAAATGGTGAAACTTATTTTGGTTCTTCAGCCGAAATTCCAAACTGTCACTCAACAATAAGCTGCTTATATACAAAACTGCACTAAAACCTATATGGAATTATAGAGCCTAATTATAGTGTACTGCATCACACTCAAACTTGGCAATTATCCAGAGTTTTCAATCTAAAACACTACGAATGATCACAAATGCACCTTGGTATGTAACGAATGAACAGCTGCATAAACAATTACGTGTTCCGACAATCAAGGAAGAAATATTTCCTATTACAAAGAATTACGCACATCGCATATATATCCATCCAAACTAGCTGGTTACACACCTGATGTCCCCCTCCAATACTTTTACAAGGCTAAAAAGAAAAACATCGAGAGACGTTTTAGATATACATTAAGACCGAAAAGCTTTCGGAAATTCTCATTTAAAATTCGCGCGCTGTATATTTTCCGATATTTTGTTTATGTAGTTTGGCAGCACTGTCCTTAATTACTATGCCAAAAATGAGCGCGATCTGTCAGACAGTTCGTTTACGGCAGCTGTTGAAACCAGTTCACCTCAGTAGGGCGTTGCGAAAAAAACAATGGAAAAAAATATTGAACAAAGAGTTTGCATCAAATTTTGTGTTTCGAACGAAATTTCGTGTGCAGAATCGTTGCGAATGCTACAAAAGGCTTATGGGGAATCAGTTTTATCGAAAACTCAAGTTTATGAGTGGTACAAAGCCTTCCAGGACGGTCGTACGACCGTCGAAGACATTTCGCAACGCACTACTGAGGTGAACTGGTTTCAACAGCTGCCGTAAACGAACTGTCTGACAGATCGAGCTCATTTTTGGCATAGTAATTAAGGACAGTGCTGCCAAACTACATAAACTTAAAATATCGAAAAATATACAGCGCGCGAATTTTAAATGAGAATTTCCGAAAACTTTTCAGTCTTAATGTATATATGTAGGTCTCACACTTCTATTTTAAGTATATATGGATATGTCACTGGACACAGTCCATACGTGCCATTCTTTTTTAGATCGTAATAAATATTATTACGTTTCATATTCATTAAAAAAAAAAAATTACACATAGCTATATATTAGGAGCAATATTATGTACTTACCATGTTAAGTTGTAAGGAATTCCGTATTAAGTTCGAATTCAGCGAAACCATTTGTAACAAGTGCCTTATTAATTTGAAATCGTTTATTTGTACTGGTATCACAAAGCACTAAATGGTAAACTCGGTCCTACACAAAAAAGATACAAATTATTTGAAAAACAAAGTAAAATACAATAATTTAAAAATAATTATGCCGGAAAATATGTTAAATTCATTAAATTATTTAATAAGAAATACCAAAACTAAGGCCCGTTACATAAAAATAATGAATTTTAATGGAAAATACACATCTATAAATGCACTGAAATCAGATATATATTTTGATATGAAAATGATTTAAAAAAATGACCTCGGGTGGCAAAAAAGATATATTTAACAGTTACATAAATCCAATAACTACATGCTCCGTGATAAAAAAATAAAGTAAAATATTTGTATTAGAATATACGTGCGATTTTCGATCCTAACATCTGTATTAAAATGTACAGTTTTTTTTTTATTTTTATGGTTTGGTTTATTACAAACTCCATTTACCAGGCCAAACTTTTTATAAGAAATATTATATTAGAGTTATGTAATGTTTACGAAAAGGCCAGAATTATGGGCAAACATGGTTTGATATTTTCCATCTTACACTGCTTTGGTTCTACTATACACCATTAGAAAAAAAGCAAGTAATTTTATTTGATTTTCTATATTTTATTCAAAAAATTTGTTCAGTTAAAATATTTCCAAACTTTGATTTATTTCCCTTTGGAATTGGTTTTGGAAAATATTGAGGTGATGGAGTTGGAACAAAGTAAAATAATATATTAGTTTGTGTAATTTTATTTAAAAATTTTCTTTTTGTTTGTTTCTGATTCTCACTTTAAGATTTTGTGAATTTCCATAACCCCAACAAAGTAGGCACATCGTATTGTGGTACGGAGGATTTGGTTTTACAAATATAAATATGTTATGTTCTAGTAGAGGTTCGTATGATAGACAGGCCGGCTGGTAAGTAATTAATATAGATTTATTTGTTTTACTTTTGTTTTTTCTTAAATAGCAGGAGCATATAGCTATTCTTCATGCCAGCTATCGGTTTAAGTTCTTTCGTGTGCTTGAGTTGGCAAACTAAAAAAAACCCATACTAAGAAAGTATTTTTATAATTCATGTCACAAAAGAGCAGAACTTCATTCTTGCTATCCTATAACATAATCTATGTATAAGTATGATAACATATATCTCGAACACATTTATATGTATAACTTTAAAATGATTGTTCACAAAATAATCTACAAAACTATCAGGATGTTATTTTTTTCCAGTGTTAAAACACTCTCTGTTTAAAACTAAATTGAGGTCAGTGTAACTGAACATAATTGGAAAGCTATGATAAGCTGCAAATAATCCGAATGAACATCGCTAAGTTAAGTACAAAAATCAAACGTGGTATAACTACAATCGAAGTCATAATACTTGGGGAACAAATGGACCCTTTAAGTGATCAAAATCTCCACTCAAATTTTTTTAGAGCGAATAAATGCACCACCAAATAAACTTATACGACCAAACCAGATCGGTTTTAGATCGGGTCGTTAGAATCCTAATAGAGCAGTAAGCTGAATACAATACACCCTTTTATCTGGTGTTTATCGATTTTCCAAAAGTATTCGATGCATTAAAACGTGACGTTATTTGATCTGTACTTTCGGCTAGAGGTGATAAACCTCTTTTGGCTAGAGGTTTATTTCGGTAAAATAAATAATATTATTAAAAATATGTACGATGGGTCTTGTTGCCGAGTACTGCATGAACAACAATTTACCGAATCTTTTCCGACCGTTTTAGGAGTTAACGTAACTTGCTCCGTTGCTCTTTATAACTGCATTATACTTAGTATTTGAAACTTACAATGGATGTGGCATAAACTAGAAGATAACAAAAAATTAGGCGATCTGTCATATGCTGATGACATTGCTTTAATCAGCAACACACACTATGATATGCGGAACAGGCTAAAAAATTTAACAAATGACGTTTTGCAGCTTGGCCTAAAAATTAACACAAAGAAGACCAAATCCGTGCTTGATTCGCACGTGAATAACAATACACAGTTTGAAATATCTGGAGGAATTGTAGATGGTGTACAAATATTTGACTATCTGGGTAACATTCTGACACCTGATGGTGGCACAATAGTTGATATTCAACGTAAAATATCTAAAGCAGCGATTCCCAACCGTAAACGAATATGGTTGATGATAAAAATCAAACATTTACAAAGGAAAAGAAATTTTGTTATACAGTGGAAAAAATTTTAGTTTCGCAACAATAAATTTCTAAATTGCAAAACTACCGGAATAGTAGGTCTTTAACGCATCTATAATATGATGTTCAGCTAGACATAATTCTTTAAAAAAATGTTTTAAAACGAATTCGTTTAAAAATACTATTCCTGAAATGAATGAATACAAAAAATCATCGACTTGAGTAGAAACAAGAATGATGTCCGTACTTTACCAAAAATATCATCCTATAGAGACAAAAATGGTAACTTTGGTACGGATACACATAATGTACTAAAAGTATGGAAGAAACATTTCTCTAAACTATTATCTGGCGATGATGATATCGATTTCGATTTGGATGGTATGCTGTCGAAGTCCTCAATCGAAAATCATGGTGTCGAAGTTTCACCACCTAGCCATAACGAAATACAAGGTGAGATGAAAAAACTGCAACAAAGTAAAACGCCATAATTTTTTCATTTTTTTTAAATTTTATTGAAATTGAAAAGCAAAAAATAGTTCGAAATAACATCAAATTTGAGAAATCGGATTATAGATTTGAATCGAATTGAGGCCACACTATATTGGAGAACTATGGCCTAAATCAAACGGCCAATGAAACCAAAATAAAACAAACGCTGCCCGAAAGTGGCTCTGCGGTATTTTGTCCCATTCTCGGCGAAGCGCTTGCTTGAGATGATCGACACTTTGGTATTTTTTAGTTCCAACCTTGCTTTCCAAAATACCCCAGGCACAATAGTCCAACGGATTGGCATCCGGAGATTTTGGTGGCCATTGTGCGGTGGAAATGAAGCGAGGAACCTCATTTCTTAACCATTCTTGGATGGCGCGTGCTGAGTGCGATGGTGCTGAGTCCTGTTGGAATGTCCAAGGTCTGCGGCCGAAATGTTTGCGTGCCCAGGGCTTCAGAACTCCCTCCAAAATATTTTCGCGATAGATTTGCGCATTTAATTTGACACCACGGTCGATGAATACGAGCGGCGAGCGACCATCGGCTGTTATGGCGGCCCACACCATCACCATGGCCGGCTTTTGAGTTGTGATGGCCAACCGAAGTTGCAAATTTTCAGCTGACCTCTCTGGCAAGTAAACACGATCATTTTGTTTGTTTACAAACTGCTGGATAACGAATGGTTTCTCATCGGAGAAAACCAAATTCGGCAGTTCACCACTTTCGGCCAAGCGAAACAACTCTTTAGCTTTTTCGAGTCTAACTTTT